TACATACATACATACATACATAAACACACAAACATATACACACACAGGCACGCACGCACACATGCATACATGCATACATACATACATACATACATACATACATACATACATACATACATACATACATACATACATACATACATACATACATAACGTCTCGCTCACACACACACTCTCCCACGAACACTTTTATTCACCACCCACCGAAAGCGCTCCCGCGGAGATCCCATCCACCCTGCTACAACATGAGGTACAGTTGTCTCCCCTCACCCACACACTGGCGGGCGGGGATGCGGCAAGTCTGAAAAGCGCTCTTTTACTCACTCTCATTTTGGCATCGCTCACGAAGACTTTCCCTTCAAATTTCATGCCGAATCTCTCTACGGAGAGTCTGTGTGAGTAGTTCAGGTGCTCGGAGTAAAGGCAATTTCAACTGACCCGTAGTAATTTATACTGACTGAGTTCTGGAGATTGGAAAAGGATAAAAGGACAAGTAAGATTTTAGCTTGAATACAATGAACACGTGTCCGTACACAAGGCAAGTTTGTTTTCTCAAAATGCAGATTGATTGAAAAGACCAATTCAGTGTATGATTATTCAGAAAGCATGCTGAAAAGTATTTTAACGCATATTTAATGTTGTCAACTCTAAACAGGAATGACGATACTTGATTCATACTTTTGATGTGGAAATAAGACCATTCACGTTAAAGGAATACAAACTGTGTAACAGAAATTACAGGGAAAAAAATGAAAAAGACATTCCTAACCTGTGAAATGCTTTGTGTGGAAACAACAGCCAATTAAGTTCGCTGAAAATCATGTCTAGGGTTCTTGAAAAAACTTTAAAAAATTGTTTGTTTGGCATACAATTAAGGAAATGTCACCAACTTCACAATATCTCCAAGAAGTCTGACGAACCTTTGGTCTGAATTCGGATAACATGTATTAGCAATTGATCTGGGCAAACTATAGTTGTTAAGAACATTACAACCTTGTTATCAAAGTTATCAACTTCGGTCAGTGTTTTCCTGTTGGTGAGCTAACGAGAAGTTCCCCTGGCTATAACTGTGACAGTTGAGAGTGCTCCAAGCTCGCCTGATTCTGTGACTAACCCAGCTCCGAGATCGCGTATCTGATTGGTGTTGTTTTGTGACAGAGCAAGAGACTGGGACTCCAGACGGGTAAGTAAGGCTACCGAGGTCATGTTAGCTATAACACGGAGTGCCCATTGGGGAATCGGGTTGGGTCGGATCGGTTTGCTAGCCAGACTGAGTGCGCAAAGCTGCTATCGTGGCACAAACCGATCACGTTCAATTTGTTTCCTCAAAAACAAACGTGTTTGTTTTCAGGCGACGAGTCGGGAAATTGACCCTACTCGACCTGACCCGACCCGACCCGTAATGGCACCCGGTACAAGGGAGACGAAACGACGGACACACCACGGGCCAACTGTTACTATGAGCCCGCAGGACGATATTTTGAGGCTCTCAAATGGCATAATAGTTTAGTGATAGGGTGGCCGACCGGGTTTTCCCACAAGTAACCTTTTTCCGAATCGTTGCTATGTATGTATAAAATTATAGGCTCATGACAGCTTCTGGTGGTGTTTGTAGACAAGTTTTAAACATCAGTCCAGAGTTTTAGGTCACTTTAAAAACGAACGAACAAACAAACAAACAAATAATTAAACATATAAACAAACAAACATCCAAACTCGAAACCATCTTTTCCGTGGAATACTTGATGTTCCCTAGGCCCCACTATACCCTAATGTATCAAAAGTCTGTTAACGTTGTGAGCAATTAATTAGTTCATCTTGATCATTCTCGTTTTTCGAGTGCCAAATCTAAAGCAGACATCGACGATTACTATTCGCCACTTATTTCTCTATTCGGCTGCTCTTAAAAACCCCTGTATTATTTACCCTGGTCTCTTACAGGTACTTTCCCTTAAGTTAATGGTTTTTGGTTAGTTTATTTCTTTTGCTTTCTTTTCCTCCTAAGAGCAAGATATTCCTGGCTTTCTGTTATTTTCGATTATTTACTCTTTAAATGCCAACTCCAGTATCAGTGATTATCGGTAGACCTTTTGACCGTGTAAAGATAATTCGTGGAACGTAAAGAATGAACACATCCTCTATACGTCATGCCGGTAGGAATATTATCCTCATCAAATTCTTCGTTTACTTAATTCTTTCCTACTGTGTACCTCAAGGTCCCCTGGGCTCCGGCTCCGGCACAACAGCGACAGCACAAGTATGTGCCTGAAGGTTACACAAAAGGAATAATTCATTTTACGTATTTCCTATTAACATTTTTGTCTGTGGCGCCTGCCATATTTTTACACAGGTAAATGTTTTGCTTAGGTTAGGTATAGCCGCTACGTCCCAAAATGAAGACATTTGCAAAAGGGTTTGACCTCTGAAAATATAATTGCAGGAAGTCTTGAAGGTTACAGGACGTTAGATGAATTCGGAAAATGAACATAAGTCATGGAGCAAAGGTGTATCCCTTCACCCCTCCCTTCCAAAAAAGGTGGGAAAAGCAATAAAAAAACTAACACAGAGCGGTAATTACCACCCTCCTTCCCCAAACCACACTCAGAAGTATAAATGCATCCTTGCAGCCCAACCTAGTCAGTGGTTTGAGCTAATTAACCTTGAATACTGATCAGCTAGAAAGCTGTAAGCTCATACAATTTGGCTTCGCTATGCGTCATGATGTATCTAATTCCTTCTGTGATCCGAACGACTTGGCGAGTGGCTCTGAGATTCAACGCACTGTGAGTTCTCACGATCTCTGAACAGTACCTGTGGTTAAGCCACAATGACCTTCCTTTGGGTTTGACGCCAGCGTCTGGGAAGTAGCATTATTAGGTCCTTCACTGTTGTACGTGGAATACATTAGTCCGATTCCGTTGTGGAGATGTTATTTATCGAGTACTTTCGTCTGTCTGCTGGACGTTGTGTGTCAGTCAGCCAAGGTTAGCCCTTACAGGTAGGATCGAAACAGTCGACCTATAAATCAGATGTGACAAAATCTATCAGTCAGGGGCCAAATTCAATTTACACTTTAGCTTGCTGGGGAAGCTGGTAAATACTCGTTGAGCAGAGTAAAACAAAACCTAATTAAAACAGACTGAAGTTAAACTATTAACAAATCAAGGAATACACATTTAAGCTCTCATTCCAATTTATTTGAGCTGGATGTTTGGTAGTTTTTTGTTGTTGTTGACAAGTTAGTATAAATTTGGCGTACGAGTCTATGCCATTGAGATTTTCAGGATGGAAAACCTAAAACATTCTCTCTAGGGCCGGATAAACTTGTCTGTCGGCCTTGTGCGGGCCTCGGACCTCGAGTTTGACACCTGTGTCTTGAATAGTTTGAATTGTGTCGATGGAGAGCACAGCGCAGTTACAATTACTATTGTTGAAAAAATGGCTTTTCTACCTCAGTATCTCAAATTGCAGAGGCGTGAGAATGATGCTATTTTTTCATTGCTATCTTATTCTTCTATTTGAATACATATACACAGCAGCAATATAAACTTTCCACCTGGAGAGAAGCCTGTATTGTGGCTATTATTCAACATATATAAACAAAAATTGACACCGACATAATTCAAAGTGTTTCAAGAAGTGCGTTATTTTTTTGTTTGTTCCTTGATCATGTCTCATGGAGTGGTACAGTGTTAAGCACAAACTGGTACCCTTTGATCTCAACATTTCACATCAGTAGCGGGCACTGTAGCCCCTTGCAATGATGCAAGCTTGGCATGTTCTGCCCATTGATCAAGTCAGTTTTTTGTTTATTAGTTTAATTAATTGTTGTGGCAGTCCATTTCCCTCTTGAATCAAAGCTTGTCCCACGTTCAAGCGAGAAGTATTTTAGTTTCAACGCAGTTTCCACCATCTCCACACTCCACAGCTGCCCCCTCTTTTTTATTGGTTCCTTATGGTTCACTCCGGACTTTGTCTCCCTACAGTCTCCTTTGTGTTTCTTCCAATGCATCTCATTTTGAGGATGAGTTCTTCTTAAAGGTCTTCACTGGGAACGTGTGAGGCATTGATATATGAGGATAGGAAGAAGGATGACAGACGTCAGCTGTGTTTTTTTTTGGTATTCAAGGAAAGGATGGGATGTGGTAGCAGAGGTTTCAAGGCGGACGAAAGAATCTTTTAATCTTTCTAAATTACTCATTTCTGTCACTATCAAATTGTTGACCAAAACACGCACGCAGTGGTCAATTTTTACATTATTGCGTTGATTGGTGTTACTATTTTCTTTTCTTCCCTATGATGTTTATACGTGTGGAAAATTCGTACAAATTGCCTTTTCCAACAACTAAAGCAATAACAACAAACCATCATTGGGCCTACTACATATTTTAAAAAATATCAAAATCCTCAACCATCCTATCTCCCTACAACAAAACAACAACGACAAAAACAACAACAACAACAACAACAACAACAACAACAACAACAACAACAACAACAAATATAGACTCGACAACTAATCGGACACAATCTGCCCATTGTGCAACAAGGAGCCCCAAGATTTGGAGCACTGGCTGCAGAGATGCAACGCTACGGAGGTCCGCCGGTGGCGTCTCTTTCGGGAAACAGTGGCCCTGGCAAAGAGCACGCTCTTCGGGGTCCCAAACAATTCGGAAGGATAGGCTATCACAACAACAACAACAACAACAATAATATCATCAACAACAACAGCAGCAACAGCAGCAGCAGCCACAACAACAACAACAACAAAGCAACAACAACAACA